CTGGCCTTGAATCATGATGACTGTACTAACCTTGGTACCTCTGTGCTGGACTTAACATAGCATTCAAATCAAGAGCTCTGGTCACTGCATCCTGCATAGTAGAGGGGCGCCCTTGCTTCACTTGTATTTTCAGTTGTGGACTGTCCAAGGCGTCTACAAACTGATCCCTCATCAACAGCTTGAGGATATCGGGTGGGGCAGTTGGGTAGGACTTGTGTTTCATGCTTTCCAAGTCCTGTGCCAGCTCTTGCAGGCTCTCCCTTTATCACGAACTCTAGTCCTAAATCTAGCTCTGTGGACTTCGGACTGATTTTGAGTTCCATACCTGAGTTCTAGAGCAGCTACCAGTGCTCTATAGTTGTGCCTGTCATCTGCTGACAACTGTCCAAGTATTTCCAAAGTCCAAAGAAAGAAACAAGACACAGATGCAAAGTGTAATGTAGGTATGTGTGAAACTGTAAGAGCAACCTCCTTGTAAACTAAAATAAATGAATAAAAGCAAAATATCAAATACTAGTTAAGCTTAAATTTCACAGCACTTTGTATAAACATTGGACTCCAGTTCTCTCAAAACACTAATCAGCAAAATCTAAGTAATATATTCTATGTTCACTTGAGGTGAATTTCTAGCTCAATGCTCTTGCTATTTGAAAATAAAAATATTATCTGAAACCTACATGGGTTTGGTTGAAAACTTAAACTGTTGAAAAGCAATGAAAAATCTGATCTTCAGGCAGACCTGGCCTTAAATATGTCGATGAACCTCAGATTATTAACACAAAACCAAAATCTGCAGCTAGGCCCTCAGTAAGCACATGGTCCATGTGCTTGCAAAGAGAATGGCTGCATCTAGTTATTCGCTGATTTCCTGACAAGAGAAACAAGTTTTTCTAGCTATGTAAAATGTTAGCTTTCTTGTATAAACACAAAACAAACATGGATAACCGCATGATTGTGAACACACCCATCATGCACTTCTTGAGAAAGTTGATTATCTTACTGTGTTCAAACTGAAAAACGGAATAATTTTAAAATTTGTACACATTAATTACGGGAGTGAAAACACACCGCAGTCCTGTAGAACTAACCAAACTTGTTTAAAAGTAAAAGGCATTGGTGAAAAACTTCAGATTACCTCATAAAGTTAATACTAGAATTATGTCTAATTTAGCAAGAAAATAAACTTTTATTTACAGTACATATGCAAGCTGCTTTTATCTAATTATCATAAACTTATCAAATTAAGCTAACTATGCAGATCACAATTAAAAACCAATCCAGTAATAATTATAGCTAATTTAATGTATTTATTTATAAAGATCAGAATTTATTCATTCATAAGTTGAGTATTCTTGCTGTTAGCAATAATTTCGGCTATAATCCCAATAATATTACAAGGTTCGACCTGCTTAGGACATAGAGGTTTAGTCTAAACATACATACTTAGTTAACAGTACAAAATAATCTTTGTAACAAACATTAATATGCTCAACATCCTAACTAATAATGTTAATGAAAGAAAGATTACAGTATAACTTCTTGTACAACACACGCACTACTGGTTTGCTT